CAGAACTGGCATTTAACCCAGTCATTTTCACTCTTTGCTGCAAAGACAACACACATCCAGCCTCAAGAACAGCTGCTCAGTAAGCTCCACTTTGCCTCAATTCAAGGGGAATCCTAAAAAAGCTGTCTTCAGGTTCTCCTTCTGGCCCCTTGTGGAGCAGGAGGTGACTTCTATTCCATGGTCAAAATATTTGGGGTGAGTGGAGACCTGCCCAGGATGGACCTGCAGCACCTCTGGTGTCTCCACACCTCTTGTTGTGTATCAATAAAAACCAAATCAACAGAAAACACAAGCAGAACTCATGGCAAGCAGTTGTTTCTGATCCATGGTTTCTCAGCTCTGGCAATACACAGTCACCAGCATTTCAAAACCTACCCAGGAAGAAGAGCTTTGGTTCCTATAAATTGATCCAAACTCACGTATCGGCTAACAAAATATGAGCATGTGATCAGAGCAGAAGGGAGAAAAATAAGTGGTATTTAAGAAATGTTCTAATTACTTCAGCGGCAATGCTTGGCTCCAGAACAACTCTTTAACCATCCTGTTAGAGCTGTGCACCACTCTGACRAGGGCAGTGTGCAAACAAATATCAGATGTTTGGCAGTAATCAGAAAAATCAAATATGGTACCTAGGAAAAAACCCAACAGCGTCCGGTTTCATCTGCATTCACACCAGGTAAAGCAAGAATAAGTCACATAAAAACATCATTGTCCATGGACAATGCAGATGCAACACATAAGTGATACCACAAACCTGTAACAAGGTTTAAAACAGAGAATCTTTAGTAATATTTTAGAGTGAAGCAGTTCTGAGCTGCTGCTGTTGTGTTCCCAGCTACAAGAGCAGAAGAAATGGAGAAAGGGATCGGTGATGCTGATTTTGCAGCTTGGCTGGTTCAAAGGACTGCTGTGGCCAGAGCAGCCAACTGCACTGGTTGATGTCACTGCATAAATGAGTGACCAGCACCCAAGGGTGCTCTGACAGAATCAATGGCCCAGACGAGGACCTGAGCCCAATTTGGAGCAGCCAAGCCTTTGTCCCTTCCCTGTAACCCCAGAGGAGAGACTCCAGCACCTCACTCTCTAACTCTGGCTCGTTTTTCACATTTTCCAAGAGCCCAACAGCCAACATTCAACCACACAATTTTCTTAACCCGACTTAGGCGTCGCTGTTCAAAAGGGAAAGGCAGAGGTTAGTTCTGAAGGTGCTTGACTGCTGTACATACCCTTCTATGATCCTCCAGCTGCCTCTGTGGTAGACTTTGATCAAGCTCCTGCTGTGCRTGCAGAAAGTTCATTTTAAAGCAGAGCAACACTCAAGAGACACCAACACGTCGGAACTGACGGGGAATATCGGGGAAGGCACAGCTGGATGGGAAGGGGGAGATGAGGGAGAAGGACTGACCGTGGAGATGCCATGGAGCAGGAGGAGACCTGCCCTGGCAGCCCTGCCCTGTGCTGTGCCCCTCACACGCCCCAGGGCGTGCAGCAATGCCCAGGGTTCCAAGGAGCAGTTTGTACCCACGGGCACAGCCCCAGGGGCACACACAGGATCGGGGGGCTCAGCCCACGCATGCCCATGCACACACACACACACAGGGACACCCCCAGCCCACTGGACACACACTGCTGGGGCTCCAGCACATCCCACCGTGGTCAATGAAACTGGTTTGAGACTGGGGAGGCACTGGGACAGCCGGGGGGGGGTCCCTTCCAATGGTGGGGACAGCAGTGAGGCGTCACTGAACAGTGTTCTGTTTGGCACCTGCACGTTTCCAAATCAAATCTCTCTCAGTTCAGATTTTCATTTTCAGGAATGCAACTTCCACTTTGCCAAGCTGAAGCACATTGGGGTTTTGCTGCTTTAAAGCATCTGAAAAGGTGCAGAATAACTGGCCTAGATAGGGACCCATCAGAAACCAGGAGCCATCTCCCAAACATCTCAAATCCATTTGATGACCACTCACAGTTTCAGGCTACATTTAAACACTATTCCACAAAACTTACAAATACAAAGGTCTAAACCATCACAAACATTTCTTTTTCWGTATKATTTCATATTTACAATCTTCATGYCTATACAGCTCAGAGRGCCAACGCTCTCCCATATTTATGTGTTGTTTCCCTTAGGTTTATATGGATTTGGCATCCAATTGTACAATCCACCAATGCCATGTCTGGACGTCCCATGAATTTCAAAAGAATTTAAGATTTGATCATTTTCCTGCCCCCTTTTTTGGCAAATAATCTGCTTTATGCACAGTGATGCTGGGATAGCTCATAAAGGACATGTTCCCACATATCCAATTCCTTGAGAACCAGTGACCCTGGCAATGTGCACGGACCTTGAGCTTGTCCATTGGGGCATTTTAAATGGGACACCAGTTGCTCTGGAGATACAAAGCTTAGACTAAGAACTTCTGACACCTCTTTCCTTTAAGTATTTAAATATACAGGCAAAGGGAAAACCAAATTCTGCGTTAGGAGCCAGAGAAACAAAGTCTCATTTTGCCAGGAAATTTTGAGGAGAGACTTTTCCCAGTGCTGCCCTTAAAGAATAAGGGAAATGGCTGAAAGGAACAGACTTGGGATTAGTTTACCTACTTTTTTAATATTTTCAGACTACCACAATGCTATGCTACATTAGATTAAACCACTTCAACAAATCTACTTATTGCCATTGTCTATCTAACAGCACGCAGGAACAGACATTTCACAGGGGTTTTTACCAACGAGACACTCCACTAGGACTACTCAACACCGATATTTGTGTGCTGTACAAATATAGGTGGGTGACACACCTCTACAGGGCTCTCCGTTTCTGGAGCTTGCGGCAGCTAGTTGAAAGTAAAATGCAGAAAAATTAGTCATTCTTCCAGAATCTGTCGTCCCAACAGCAACCCAGTGGTCAACAGTGAGGGGAAGGGAGCTGGCAAAGCACTTGACTTCAGCTGAATCATCACAAATGAATTATAGCTGTAATTACTGTTTGCACCCTCCCACCCAGCTCCTAAAAGTGCCACATTTGGAAAATTTTGCAGGTATCCTTTGAACTTCCCAAACTCTTTGCATGAACTCAGAGACAACTCAAAAAAAATTGAGTTGCAGGTGCCCAGAGCTCTTTTGGGGACCTGTGACTGAAATTCTGCACATCCATCCCAGTGGGGAGGAGAGGAGGAAGCCAGGGCTGCGTATCACAAAGGAGCAGCCTTGTAATTTTAGTTTAAAAGAACATATTCCGTGGATTCTCATCTATAAACATACTTTTCCCAAGATAAAAGGTCTGTGATACAGCACCAAASAGGAGCAGTGAAATTAGGGCCTGAACAGTGACAGATTTTCAAATTGAAAACGCTGATCTTCAGCCGAAACAGATGAAGACAAGTAACTTTTATCTAGTTGAGCACARACACACAACAGAGACCTGAACATTCACATCCAACTGCTGCTTTAATTGTGGGGAAATTGCTGTAACTTCTCAGGAGCAGACAGCAGGAATAACACACTCACAATGCTGAAATCCCAAAGTGAGATGGGCACTCAGGGCTGTCAAGAGAGACAGAGGGATAGAGGGACAGAGCACAGGCTGGGAGAGMAACCCAGGAATGCTCAGAGAGAGGGCACAGACCCAAAACAAGAATAACGAGGCTCCCCTTGCCAGGATTGAGCACATCCCCACGGTGCTCCACGAGCAGGGGCTCCTTGGCCAGAAAAGCCCCTTCTCCACCTCCTGCTGCTGGACTCTGCTCCTGGCCAGCTCCCACAGCCTCTGGGAGCCGTTTCCTTGCATTGTCACCRCTCCTGGACACGTCTCAAGCATGCAAACCCCTCCTGTGGCCAAATGCAGCCGATGGGGAGGGTTCAATCCAGAGCAGCCACGGCAACAGGAAAGCAGCTCATTCCTGCTGAGGAACACACCGTCCCTGCCCTGCCCGCTGCTCCCAGCCTGGGCACAACCTGCCTGGGCCACAGGAAACATCTCTGCTCTCTCCAGGAGCTCAGGGAACAGAGCCCGTTCCCCTGCAGGGGAAATGAGGTCCCTTCCTCCCTGGCAGGTCAAGTGGACATGAGCGCTGGACTCAGGATTCCAAACAAAAGTTTCCTTCTGGACACATTCCCAGAGAAACTGTGGATTTTCCATCCCTTGAAGGACTRAGAGGTGACAAAGCTCAGACTGCTCAACTGATGACATTTCCCAAACCAGCACACAACTCCTCCAGATCTTTCCCCAAAAATCCCTCTCCGTGGGACAGCAAGGCTGACAAAAAMTGTGCTGGGAGCTGAGGAGCTCAACACTGAGCACTGTGAGGAGGCTGAGCCAAACTCCGTGGATTTGGCTCTGTGGATACACAATGGTGAGCCCAGGGATGTGCAGGAAGCCGGGTTCAATCACTGGTAGATCCCAAAATCTGGGAATTCAGGAACTGACCCAACTSCAGGCATATGGCATCTCATTACTGGGGTGGCAGGGGGAGACATTTGGCAGAGAGAAGGAAATAAAAAGGGAAAAAACACAACTACAGAGCCAGCCAAATGGCACATAAAGCTTTTGATAGCCAGGTTGTACATCCAGATGCAAGGAAACAGAGCAGAAAGCTCAGATAAATGTTACTCTGAAGCCTCTGCTTTGGCTCCTGCATTGCCATCTCCAGWATCAGCTGGAATTCCACTGGGAATGGCTGTTCAAATTGAACCCTCCAAGTCCCTTCCCAGTTTTTCCTCCTTTCTCTAAATTTCTCTGCTTCCCCTTTGAAATCAGTGCAGCTCTTCCTTGAAAAGCACACAGCAAAAGCATCACCTTGTCTGATCCATGGCACCAGACTAGAGCAACAAATTATGTTGCTGTCCTTCATAACTCTTTAAAAATACCACAGAACTCGCTGCAGCCTCCTTGCCAAGTCCCCTTTGTAAAGCCAGCACTGTTACCTTGTGGAGCTGAGGAAGAATTTGGATGGGGAATTTCTAGCCCCTGCAGATGATCTGTAGGTGTTTGTCAAACGAGCATTTGACTTGTTATGGAGAAGTTTCAGGGCAGAGGGGGAATAACTGGGACCCAGGAGCAGGGATCTGCTCTGACAAGCTTCCCACGTTCCATTCCCCCCGTGCAGACCTGGCATTTTTGGGGATGGRGGAGCTCAGACCTGCCTGAACCAGGCAGCAGGAGGGGCAGCACCTTGTCCTGTCAGGATTTGGGGGGCAGGAGCAGCCCCCCAGCTCCCCCAGGATCCCTCACCACACACCCAAAGCGGGGACAGGGCTGAGCATCCTCCCTCAGCTCAGGGATGTGCAGGCACTTTGTGAGAATGTGGCAAACCTGGCACAAGGGCTGCCAGTGCCTGCACTCACAGCTCACCATAATCAACCTTTGGGAATGCTTTCCCTCATTTCCCAGCGTTTTCAGGGCAGAAATCATGTTTGAACCTGGCCTGGGGCTTTCCAGGAGCTGGAGACCTCCATCTCTGCCCTTCAGTGGGAGTGCAACCACTTCCTCCTCCTGAAATCCTCAATCTTGCAGGGCTTCTACAGTAGCTGAATACAACAAAAACTTCCTTCACAGCCCATTTCACAGCAGCAATTTTAGTTAACCACTAAGATGGCACAACTATATATTTTTTTTTTTTTGGTGACAAGTAACTGTAAGAAATGTTCCAGTCTCCTTTTCCAAAGAGCTCACCAATTCCAGTCCGCGTTCAAAAGAAAAAAAAAAACCCAGTCCAAAGATTGCAGGATTTCTCAAGGGGAAAAAAAAATATAAGGCAGCCCACAAAAATTTATGAGTGCCTGCATTTCCTCTGCTCGAGACATAACAAGTGAAGCACTGTCTAAGTGCAGAATACACAAGAGAAATGAATGTGGAGTGAGCTCTCTACAAGGAAAATAATTCCCAAGAGCAGCCTTCCAGCTCTGAAGAGGTTAATACATTTCCTAACTCCAAAGAAAAATGCATAAACCAGCACATATTTTGCACCTTAGCCATCGTAATTTTAGTTTATCATTGCTAAAGAGCAGTCAGGAGGTTAATTCAGGCAACCCCTTTGAACCAGGATTTTCAGTTCCCTTTTCACTGACTTGAAACTTCAAGACCAAAGGAAAGAGGTGAAAAAACCCCAAAATCTGAACGCTACTGAGGGGTCTGCAAGTGTATTTTACTGGATAGAGCTGCYTATAGATATATCAGCTGCACAAAGAGGTGTCACTACTGAAAAAATAGAYAAAACCCCAAMACAATCCTAARAAAACAACTAAATAACTACAAGGKAAACTCYRGGTTATAGAGTTTTGCTGGATTTGGCTGGGTGGCTGCTGGCCCCTGCC